TAGGGGGCTGGACCCAATGATCTTACAAGGTCCCTTCCAGCCCTAATGTCTATGAAATCTATGAATCTTAAGTTTTTCAGTGTTGGGTTCAAGTCCAGCTAAGCAAATGCCTTCTATTAACACATCTATAAAGACCTAATCACTTAGAGTCTTAGTTACTTCAGAGGACACTCTTGCCTCAAGAGATACTCCAATATGCGAGATTAGCTAAAACCCTTAAGATACTGCAGCTATGAGATTTTAGGCCAGACTGGTCTTATAACATGGTCCTTTATCTAGAATTAACCTCTAATGCTGATTTCCCAGGTTAAATTTACTTCATTTTAGGCAGGCGGCAAAAAGCTCACTGGATTTCCCCCATAGAGGAGTCAGAATGGGTGAGAAAAAGGAGTTAGAAAAAGGGTTGGACTTTGGATTCATTTGTACTTTGAAAGCCCTTTGTTAACAATACATATATGCATAATAAAGGACAGAAAAGTGGTTTTACAAAATACGTAACTAATAGATAGCAAAATGAAGGACACTGTTGAATCGTAAGTACCAATCAGTAAGTGTCCCTTGCAGGCTGCCTGAAGACAGAGAGCAGAGAGTGAAGGAGCAGGGGACCAAGCAAACTTTTCATGACAGATGTAGTCCTTCCTAGGTGTTCACTGGCAGAGCTGAAAATTCTGCTGCCTGGCCTATACCTGCACTGTAAATAGTACTAAGTAAATAGTACCATTTATCAAGTACTCAGGACTAGCATCAACCCAATTCCTGTTTTGTACTTTGGTTAACTGAAAAATAAATGGTCAGGTGTACATCATCTTTGAGACTCTTTAAACAATCGTAACTACCCAACATCAAGAAGACAACAACTTACCTAAAGTTTATGAGGCTTAGACCATTTTTCTCATACAACTGAAGCAGCAGCAATATTTTCTGATCTTAAAAAATATAAAACATTATTTAGAATTTTTAAAATATGCCCACTGGAAATTATATTTTTAATAGATCAATACCTACCAACGACACTCAGCGTTGCACCATATGCTCCAAGCAACACAGCAAAGTGACTGCTCTCACAGACTGAAGGACTCAGTTTCACTATAGTGGACAATATATCCACTAATGCCTCTGAAATAAATTCAAATTCAAAAACTTACTTTTATTATTCAACACAGATACAAAAACTAAATACAGAGTACATTTAGCATTAATGCTTGTATTTGTAAAACAAATCTGTAATTTGTAAAAAAAATAAATAAATTACAATTATTTGCATTTGTAAAGCAGCAAAAGTTTTCTTCAATGGTGCTATGAACAGATCTGATGAAGTAAAGCTTCAACTGGAACAAACTTTTCTAGGTGCTAAAGAAGTATTTTCACAGATCTCATCAATGTAGCATATGAAAAGTTAGCAAACTTCAATGATTTTATTTTGTGGCAAATGGAAGTGTTCCTGACTCCCAGTTTCACAAACAGGGAGCTGAGGCACAGATGAATTGTTTTGTTCAGAACTGTGGAAGACCTGAGAATTAAACTCTGTCACAGTCCTGTACCTGAACCATAATGCCATCTTGCTATATGCTACATCAAAGCAAAAGAGAGAAAATTATTTTTGAACACTGTAGAAAGACACAGGTAAGGATGAATGGACTCTCTACAGCAAACTTCTGAATTACTGAAGTAAGCTTCTTTAACAGAGTCTGCTTCATTACTCCATGGATATACTATCCAACTGACACATGCATGGACTGAAGGGTGTATATTCTATGAGGAAAAATATAACAAACTAGCCTCCTACTTTTCAGTGGAGCTCTCATCTTGTCAGGGGATTTAAAAATCTTCAAGTTACTTTAGTCTTGCTCATTATCATTTGTTAACAAATAGAAAATGTGTCAACTTATTACAGTTTTATTATCTCCAGTACTGCTCTTTGTATCAGGAGATCTCAATGCACTTTGCAGAGAGAGATTAAGTACAGACCTGGTAACATATCCAAGGTCATGGACCTCAGTGGCAGAGTCAAAACCTCCCAGCTCAATCCTGTACTAGATTCCTAGCAAGAGCCTGTTCTCTCTCACACCTCCCTCCACAAAAAAACCTAATATTTTTAATAAAACGTAATATAATACACCATCTGCATCAGCCTACATCAGTGCTGCACAACCTTTTGGTCCCACAGGCCAGGTGAGTGGTGCAGGGCTGAGCTGCAAGTGCCTTATCGCACCCACAGCCCAATCCCCAGCCCTGTGCACGCCAAGCCTGCCACCCTACACCCAGCTATACAGTGTGCTGGGATGGGCCCACAGCCCCAGCCTTGGCCCTAACCTCATGCATGGAGAGAAGTGGTAGCATTAATTGCCACTGCTCCCCCTGCTTCCCCTTCGGGAAACTTGTGGGCCATGGATTGAGCAATCCTAGCCTAAACACCTGCTTTAAGATCAGGACTTCTATCTATGCAAATAAATACTTAGCTGAGTCATATTTCTACTTTTTTCCACCTACAGAAAGAGTGAAATTCCAGTCCCACTTAAAAATCCCAGTGGCTTCAGTGAATACAGGATTTTACCCCAAATCTCCATAAACAGAATCTCCATGACAGAATATTAAGCAACCTTTAAAAGATACTAAACTTGCAAATTTTCAGATTAAAAGAAAAAGAACTCTGTGCTTAAATTTAAAGGAATGCTAATATCTGGGAGCACTTCAGTAGCTCTGCAAATAGCTTGGTGAATAGGTTACTGAACAGACTGAAAGGAGCACTGAAAGGACATGAGTAGTATATAGAAACTGAAGAAAGGGGAAAAAAAAGATACCTCTGGTTTGGACATTTGTGTCATCATCTTCTCTTGATCTCAGCATGGTTGACAAAAATAAAGAGTGCTGTGTGATCATCATGTAAACCGTGGAGAGCTTGACTAATTTCTTACTAAATGAGCTGTCTTCCCTATACAATGACTGAATAGCAGAATTAAGAGTTTCCAGAAACACTTGTTCTCGATAGCGGTACCTTAAAAAAAAAAAAAAAAGGATAAAAGGACACTTGGATTTCAACCCCAGGCAAATTTGTTGTTTAAATAGCAAAACTGTATATGGAAAGCAAATAAAACAAATCCCCTCCTACTCCCAAAAAACATATCCCAATATTTTATTCAGTTTGTGAAACTAGTCATATCTTAAACTACTGAGGAAAAGAATATTCAGTCATAACAGCATTTGGGCTTTACAGACATAATAAGTTTTTTCACACGTTAAATCCTATATTTGATGATGGCAAGACAAACATTTCTGTTTCCATGTAAGGTAAACCTCTCCAAACTACCCATTTCCTCTGATCTCTCTTTTTCAGTAGTACTCATGTGAAGGTCAAGTACCCAATTTTGATTTCACAACAGAGTACATTTGTAATACTTTAATCAACAATTACTGGAGTTGCATTTGTGTAAAACTGCTTTAAATAGAAAAGTGGGAGTAGGTCCAGTAATTTGCTATACTTCATTACACTAATTGAAGACACTAATTCAGGGCAACCACCACTGAATTCACTGGGGACTGTGCCTGTGTACAAAGCTAATCCCAAGAAATGATGAACATCCACAGGTCCCAATAATTTCAGTAGAAGCTGAAGACACTCAGATAAGCAGGACAATGTGGAACTAGTTTCTGATCAATAACAGGATTAGATGCAATGGACGTTACAGTAGTGTATACCACATCTTTCCCATCACCCAAGAGCAGTACAAGTTTACTTACTTGAGTCCCATTTTCACAAGACTGTGCCAGTCAGCTGCACCCACTTCATTAACTAAGTGCTGTGCAAAGAGTAAATAAAAATGAAAAATAAACTTTAATATTCAATATTAAGTACAGCAAAGCTGCTGTACATTAAGACCTACACTTTCTGTTTGAAGCACTGATACACAAATTAAATTATGAAAATGGGACAGCCAGTGTCTTTTGGAAACCAAAGCTATTTTCTGTGTAGGGAGAGATGACAGGATTTTAGATTTCAAGCTGCAAAGAAATTTCAGTCCCAAGTTTTTCAACTACTAACTGCACCTTTTCTGTTACACTATGCATTTCCTTACCTCATTAACACACAAGTACTGTAACCTTACGTTAGTTCCCTCTCACCAAAACTCAAAATAAATGGCCAACCCTGTGAGATGATAAAAATCCTCATTTCCCACTGATTTCAGTGGGATCTCAATGCATCCACTTGCCAGGATTGCACCCAGAGACAGTCAACCCTAAAAACAAGGTGCATTAAATTGAAAACACAATAGCTAACATGAAATAGTGGTAAGTCTTCCTTCCTAAGAGAGCCTAAGGAAGTGTAGCACACTGAAACAGAGCATGAACTTCATTTTGCATCAGGGAGGAGGTAACTTTAGCCAATTTAAACAAACTGTTTCATTCCACAAAAATATTAACTGTGTTCAAGTTTACTTCAGCTGAAAAAAGCTTGAAGTGGTGCCTGTGATGCATATGGGGCTGCAATGGACTCTATGGCAACATTAAGTTCATGGAAGCTTATATTATGGCTACACTGCTCTATTTCAAGGAGGGCTCTCACCAGAACAAAGACAATTCTCCCCAGTTTATAAGAATCCCAACACACACAGAAAAGACAATGGGGAAAGCTACAACTTGTCTCTAATGAAGCTGCAAGCTCTGTTTTGCTTATGCTGAGAACCATGAGACTGAAGAGGCTGTAAGCAGTTCAAGGGAGAGTGGTACTCAAAAGACCGAGCAGGATTTCAAGACAAGGTTGGTGAGGTAAAAGGACTTCAACAGCTTGTTTAAAAACGGGAAAGACCGCCACCCAGTCCCAAGAGATCTGGAGATGTCTGTAGAAAGCTCAGATGGATGAACACCTCAGATGGAAATATACCATATTTCTCAAATCCACTATAAGGTTCCCCCCTCCAAGTCAGCACCGGGGAAGGAAAAAGCTTCACCTTGGATTCAAGTACCGCCTACCCCAGCCAGAATGGCTTGTTTGGTGGTGGAGATAGTAGTGGGGGGGATGCAGAGGGGGACTGCAGCCTTCCCCCCAACCCCTTGCCCCCCCTACTCTACTAAGGTCTGAGCTTAAGCTACTGAGTATGATTCTAAAAAAAAACAACTTCCCCCCAGAAACCCAACTTCAAAGGGATTTGCAAGTGTCCAGCAGCTTTCAAGGGGTGACCCTGATTGCTATGCAGTAGCCTCTTGCAGAGCTAAATATGTTATATAGAAGCTACCAAACTAAACAAAACAAAACCCAACTATGCTTACCTAATACAGAAGTATAGAGAAAGCACAAAATAAATGTTCTAACACAATAATTACAAGCCAAATGAGCTGGGTTTGCACATAGTAAAGCAAATGAAAAGAAGTCTTACCAATAGTTCTTCTAGCCTCAGCAGCATTGACTTCTCTGTTTCTTGGTTGGTTTCTTCTTCCTTATTATTGTTGTATGCTGCAATTAACCACTGTACACAGGCTGACAACAGGCTTTTCCTCCAGGAGGTCAAGTCTTTATCAGAGCTCTCAAGCACTCTAGATATGGAATCTGCCACAATCCAACTGCAGAAAAGTTTGAATGTTAAAATAATGGTTTTATTGTCTAATTTTACCCTGTTTTACTTGCATATTTTTAGCTATTTGATTTCACAGACAGAAACATTTCTATTCCTGATCCAAAAGATAAAGAGCATCTTCTAAGCACCTGACAACTGCGCTTAAGGTTAGTCACCTCAAAAGTCGGCCAGACTTTCCATTTTATTCTCCCATGGACAGTGAAGACTAAAAGTCTACTATATAACTACAAATCCCATTAGTCTAACACACAGGCTGAAAGTGTTAGTTCTTTGCCCAAAAACAGAGCTTGCAAAAGCACAATGGTCTGGAAAATATTTTTACCAGTCCTATCCAACTGGTTTCTTGAAGTTTAAGTCATTACAATATTTTTTGTACACTTATTTTAATCGAGTACAACAGACTATTGAATGTGGAGTGCTAACTTCCACAAAGTTTTATTTAAACTTAATGCATATATCTGCGATGTAGCTCCTTCTCCCAGGAAGTTCCAAGAGGCTGTTGTAGGCTTCATCTCCTATTTCACGTCTCTCCTCACTTCAGTGAAAACAAATGGAAAAAATGCCAGGCTTTGTATTCCTGATTTCTCTTTCTCTGTTCCTCCCCTCCCTTTCTCCTTCACCCTCAATTTTGTCAAGTCACTTTACAAATTCATGAAAAGAGGGATGCTTTATTTAAAGTCCTATGGAACAATTTCCCAACCCCTGTTCACATGCATGTACCTGGAACAGTAGTTCATCCTTTTTCATTTATGGACCCCTTCGAAAATTTCGAATAGAGGTATGGACCCTTCTCAACTGTAAGTATTCACATGCTTTTGATCTATCATAGTCATCTTTCGTGGACTCCTTAGACATAGTCTCCAGACCCCCAGGGGTCTGTGGACCACAAGTTGAAAACCACTGACTTAGAACAATGTTTTACGTAACAAAATAGTAATTCTGGCAATAAGACCTGCCTACCTCTCATGATTTCCTGCTCTCTCAAGAGTTGTGGGTAGCTTGTCAATTAAATTACTTAGTGCTTCGATTTCTGAAGCTTGTATCAGCTTAGAAAACACTTGTAACTTCATTGTGGTTCTTGGTGATGCTTCCATATCTAGAACTACATTTGAGAGCTGTTTCCAAAAAGCTTCTCTCAAAACAGGCACAACAGATGAGGAAACTGTTGGAAGAAAGACAGCAAACACGCATGTTGTCATTGTCAGCTTTCTAGTAGTGCTTTGAGAACTCAAAACTACTTCACATGTTAAAGAGAATAAAATTCTAGGGCCTTCTAATTCAGTAAAAGGAAGCATTATTCAACATGCTGTAGCAGCAACTCTAAAAAGCTTTTGAACTATATATCAGATGTCTACTAATCAAAGATTTCAAATTACTAGGTACACAAAAATACCTTATTTTCTTGTGTAGAACACACCCTGGAATAGGACACACACCTTGTTTCTGACAGAACGAAGAAAAAAAAATCTTCCCTTGTAGTAACTGAGTATCAGCAGCAAGGAAGCTGAGCCTGCTCACCCTTCTTGGATCTTGTGCAGTTACTTTTGCTTTTATTCAGCAGAAGTTTAAAATGGCAGAACCTGCTGCTACTGTATTTCCTCACTGATAGTGAGCACTCCAATTCTTACATACAGAAATAGCATTAACAAAGCAAATATGATGATGAAATGGAATGACTCTATACAAAAATGTTGCCATGCCCTATAGGTGATCATGGAAAAAGAGAGCCATAGGGGAGATCAGGAGGCCCCTGCATAGGCTAGATCATCTCACCCAAGTATTTGTCTAACCTGAACTTGAACATTTCCAATGATAGAGATTCTGCAGCCATTCTAAGTAAGCTGTCCCAGTGCTAAATAACCTTCATAGTTAGAAAGTTCTTAATATGCAACCTAAATCTCTGTTGTCATTTAAGCCAATTACACAGGATGAGATCTGAGTATGTCTCTTAACTGTGACCTGGGTGGTGTCTGCTCTTGTTGATCAGTGCTTTATTTGCTCTGCATGAGTTCAGACACACCAATCAAACCTCTGGATTCAAATGGCAGCAGTGCAGTGAAAAGCCACCTGCTGCTTCAGAGCAGGAAGCTGGGCACAACAATTATAATGGTCAAAAAATACCTGGTCCATGAACCTTACATTAATACACCCTCAAAGTCACGACAGTCTGGCAAAGGCTGCTTGTTGTCAAATTATTTTATAGTTGTGTTTACATCACAGGCAAAACGCAGTAGTAGAATTCACATTAGACAGCAATTTTTACAAGTGCTGACCTACACTCAGAGGTAAGGAAAATGTTATTACTGTTTCAATTGCAGCCTTCCGTCGATTAAAGAGGACTGCTTTTAGCAGCAAGGATTCAGAAAGTACTGAATTTTTAAAATGTCACCAGTCCTCAAGTGAAACAGCACCTGTTGAGATCATTAGCCCAATAAGATTTTCCTGCCGCTAATTATTACAGTGCACAGAATAGATAAATCATTTTCATGGGAAGCATTATGGCAAAAATCCCCTAGAAAAAATATTTAACTATTAATACTGGTCAGTTGCTCATCCTACCTCTTGACAGCCGTGTAAAGTTGCACTGCTCCTTACATTGTAAATAGACATTAATGAGCGGAAGAAAGGTATCCATATTTTTCCTCAGGTACTTTGCAGTTGCACAATTCAGACACCACAGCTCAAACTGCAGCAGATGAGTGTGACAGTGCCTGATCAACAAAGCCACAATGGCAAGAGAAGTTTCAGTCACATGGTTCAGGCAATAAATGGATACATCTACCCCAACAGCACATGCCAAGAGAGGCTCTCTTTCCAGAGCTTGTAGGAGAACTTTCCCTAGCTCTTCATTGTTTGACGTTGGCAGCAGGGTCCCCATTCCCTTAATATGCTCTGTGGATAACAGCAGTTCTTCTTTTAAGGGTTGTCTTTGGTAGCCTTCTGTGAGGAGCTGCACAAGCATCTGACCGTACAAGCTCAAACATTTCTTTTTCTTGGGAGAATTTTCAGGTGTCTGAGTGGTCAAGATCACTTCAGGGAGCTGAAGCAGGGTTAGCACAACTTCTTTTAACTGAGCTGCATCCATGTACATGTGCAAATCCTGCAGAGCCTCCAACTGCCGGGACTTTTTAAAAGATGCCTTGTTTCTTTCTTTCCTCACAGCATGCAACTCTGTCAAGATGCTTTTTACAACAGCTTCCAAATAGTTAGACAGCACATCAAGGCGTTTCATGTTTTGCAACATCGGGGCACTCATTTTCAACAAACGAAGGATGCCATTATTTAGCTGAGCTGCCAGAAGTTTCACAGTCACAGGGTTCAAGCTGTGTTGGGGAAGAGCTTGCTGTTCTAAAGCCAGGAACCAGGTCTCCATGGTAGGATGTTTGAAGATCAATGTAAGCACCTCTTCTAGCACCTGCAAATGTATGCAGTTATAAGGACAGAACCAAATATGCAATTACAGTCTGGAGAAATCATTTGCTTGCTTCTCCTTCAGTGACCACTTTTATGTAGTTTCTGGACATAAAATAATCTATTAGCTGGCCAAAAAAAACAACAAAAATTAAACAGATTACATATTTCATAAAGCAATTACATGTTTTCAGTGTTTATGGAAAGCCTTTACTCTGTGTAAAAAACACTAGCTTCCTGGAGTAGAAGGAAATCACTCTCTTCATTTGTTCACTTATGAGAGGTTCTCAGCCTCTAGCACACAGGCCAAACATGGCCCATGGAGACACTGCAACTAGCCCACAGGGCTCCTCACAGGTCAGGAAATTTGGTGGTGGGTGACCAGTGGCCACCCTCCCACCTGCCAAATTCTCAAACCCTGTGCCCCATGCTGCTGGTTGGGGCTGAGCCACACCTCCCCTTCCTTCCTACCCCCATGCAGAGTGGCCTGGCCACACCCCCTACCCCACGGGACTGGTTTTAGGCCAAGCCACATACCCTTTCCCCCTATAGGGCGGAGCTGGGCTGGGCCGGGCCAAGTCATGCACCCTCTCCCTGCCCGTCCCACCTGCACCCCAAGGGTCAGGCTGAGGCCAGCCCATGCCCCTCTCTACCCATGTGGTTCAGTTGAGGCCAGGCCCTACCCCCTCCGTCTGTGTAGCCAGGTTGGGGTCAGGCTGCTCCCTAACTCCCTCAGCGCAAACAGGATGGTGCCCACCATGCCTGTACCAGGTTTGGAACTGGGACCACCAGCTGGATCCAGCTTGCGGATGGATCGGGCACTGCCCATTTGGCTTACTAGGGAAAAAGGTTGAGCACCACTGACTTATACAAATACAACCAAATCTTGAAAAATCTGAGAGAGAATTTTACCAGGCATCTCTAAGACTAACAGTGTTAAGGCAGAATTATTCATGTCAGGCAGAAGACACAACTGCACTTATTTACACTTATAACTTTATACATTCCCAGACAGTAAGTCCAGTATATCCTAGGGTGTATCAACTGAAAAATGGTGCATTTTAAAACCTCTGCGAGCGCAAGAGTCAGGTAAAACTAATATTCTAGGCAAAATCCATACCTCCCAAACAAACTTGATTGTACAAGTTATGTTTCTCAGCAACTGGGGAAATACAATTCACCCTCCCAATATACAGGCAGGCTGTGAACTTGGGGCATGACTGTACTGAAGACTGCAGGGCAACGTGGAGACACCCAAAAGAGCTTTAAACGAGCGAGTTTGGAACTAGAAGTAATGTAGCTATGCCAGACTAATTTACTCTGCTTCTCCGCATCTTCTACCAGACACCCTCCTAAAAGGAGAGTTTCTGGCATCTTGAAAGCACAAGAAAGGGGTGGAGACTGTTTTCAGGAATGAAGATCTGAAGAAAATTCTCTTGCATGCTCTACCAAGACAGTGATCCCTTTGGTGTAGATATAGAGGCTTAATTAGAATGCACATAGCTCTGGGCTGCTGTAGCTAGACTATATTCTGGTACCAAAGCTTGCCCATTTACATCTATGTTGGGCATCTCTGCATTGCACTACAGTCTGCAATTCCCTTACAGTACAGCCCTTCCAGGGCCACTATTCCAGCCCTGGGCCAGAAGATTGGAGGCTGCTGCTTGGGCACACCTCACATGCAATAACCTAGAGAGCTTTTGGATGCAGGTACTTATGGATCCAAAGGTCCCACCCCCACACCCCTCTGCAATGACATGTCTGTCTCAGATGTATTGATCCCTGTATGGTACAGGACACACAAAACTCCCTCCCCATGTGGTGACCTGCCTCCCAACACCCTCCAGAAAAAAAATCCAGCAATGCTGCTACAGTGTAAGGATCTTGCACAGGCCTTCAAAAGGTGAGTGGCAAGACTTAATATTAGACTTAATACTTAAATACCAGAGACCTTCATGTTTCTTCTTAAAGGGAAGCATCCACAGACCTTCATGTTTCTTCTTAAAGGTCAGCATCCACAGAAACCCCCTTCTTCCTATGTTCTCTATCACTTTGTGCTCTGTGTCAACTGTGCATTTCAGTCATCAATAATAACAATAATAATGAGTCAATGTAATCTATACCTAAAAACTATGTCCCTTAATGTATATTGTTTGCCTTGTTAAACAGTTTAGCAAAACTGATGTGAGATTTCCTGGAGGACATCTTAACTGAGGTAGGTACTTCATTTTCTATAATAGGAACATGATGAGTGATTTCTACCTTGTCATCTGCAGACTCCACCACAACCACAGCTTCCATATCCATAAAGAGATCTGACTCAGTCTGGGACCCTTCTTGATTCTGCTGATTACATTGCTCCACCTGGTCACAGCAGCACAGTAGACTGCCTAGCAGGTCTACGTAGACACTGAGGAGAAGAGGACCAGAACTCCTACTGAACTGTAAGAAGAGCAAATACATTGACAAATGAGAGGAGTGGGAGAAACTCGGAAGAAAACAGTGCAGACTATAAATGAAGAGCCTCTTGACCTATTAAACTCTTTGGGGGCAGAGACCATGCATAACTCCTCCTCCAAGGGCAGCCTGATCCTGTGAATGGCTTGTGGGAGCTAACCAAGTATTTATATTTTTAACAAAGAGGCAAAGATCTCTGAGGATGATATCTTTCACGGTATTTTTAAAAACACAGGGAGCATCGGATCATCTAGTCTAACTTTCATAATGACACAAGACAAAGGATTTCATCAAGGCTGAATGTACTTCTTTCAGAAAAATAGCTGTTCTTCCTACCAATCCTCAAGAGGGGGAATAGAAGTGGCAAATCTCTTGAGGTATATTTGGTGGTGGTGGGGAGGTGTCTGCTACAAAGTCAGCCAGCCACTTCAGCAGCGAGAGACATACTCAACAGTTCTACAGCTGTTCCATTCCTTCAATGTTAACTGCATGTGCCAAACAGCACGCCAAAGTCATTTCAGTTTACTGTATTTAAAGAACCAAAGATAACAGACCATGTTTCTTACACTGCCAAAGTTCTCCACTGTGGACTTTAGGTACAGCAGCACATGTTTGACTTCTAGCAAAAGCTGTGGACCACGGAGCTGGGATGCCATGTCTCTCAGCTTTGCCTGAACACTGTCTTCTAAGAGGAGGGCATCACCTCTCTCATAAGCGTGCTTTAGCAGGGAGGCAAACGAAGAACGTGGCTGCCGGACAGGCTCCCTGCACACATCCTTGGATTCTTTAAACTTTTTAAAACAGAAGCAACACAAAACATTGAGGTGAGAAACTACAAAATATTCATTTCAAAGGGAAGGTCATTTACAATGACATTAATATAGAGTTCATTCATGTAGACAACCCAGCAGTAGATCATGCTTTCTGGGCCCAATCCTACTCTGACACCCCATTCTCTGCCTTCCTGTTGTAGAGTCCTTTTCAGAGTACCTTGTGTCAACAGCTGGCAAAAAGATCAACATTGCAGCTCCTACAAGGGATGGCCTGTGCTCCTTACCCACTCATACACAGCCCTGCAAAACTTTACCTCCTCATACCAGTTTCTCCAGCTGAGGAGGGGGTACACCATTTACAATCCTCTTCACCTTGGCCTTGTGGAGACACTTCTCATCCACCTGCTTCTTCACTTGGGGCAGGGGTATACGCATCCACTACTGCCCACTCAAATTTCCTTTACACTTTAAAAGTGAATAATAAAACTTCCCTCAAAAATACAAAACACATTCTGAACTTGCAGCATCCCAGCACTCGTGGCTAACACTACATAGCTATCAGGACTGCAGACTCTCTCCTCTCACTAGAGGCTTTTGCCTATGCTTAAACAGCTCTGCCTACACAACTTCTGTAGAAAACCAATGGCTGCCACCACCACGTACCCAGAGTACATTCTGGTTCTGAAGACTGTTCTGAAGGCTTTGCATAGCTCTACCATGTGCACAGTGCATGCTAGGAATTCACCAGCTGCAGATGGAACCACTAAAGCTGGAAGAAGGCATGTACAGATGGCAGCAGAAGCTTTCTTTCAGTTGGAGAGGCAACATAGCTCTGCCAGGAAAAAGAATGGTTTCTGCTGCCAATCCTCCTGCAATCAAGAAGTGGTGAGCAACAAGGTAATTTAGCCTGTGCTGAGCTCCATGGTTCTATATCCTTGTGGTATCCAAGCTAGCTTGGTTAAAACTAGTTCATGTATTTAATATTATACCGCACTAAGGGCGGACAAACTTTCAGGTTCAGAAGACAGAGGCAAGAGAGAGAAATCGGGAAGTATTTTACAATTGAAATAAAAGCTCTCTGCAATACACGGGGTCTTTCAGTAATGCCCGAAGCTGAGGGTAGTGAAAAGATGTTCAGGTGTGCAGTGCCAGAAGATTAAGGCATCTCACAGTGCCTTCCACGTTGCGAGTTTGAGCCCAGCTCAGGACTTATGCTGAATGGGGCCTCCAGTTCACTCAGATGCAAACAGCAACTTGTCTATTCAGCCTGGGTTGGCCAGAAGTAGGGGGAGGGGGCTAGGCATCTGCACACAATAGCCACATTCCCTTGTGTACTGCTTTCTACAGAAACTACAATGACTTAACCACACCAACTCAACAGGCCACCAGACTTGGGAGGACCTTTGACCTTGACTAAATGATTCTGTGCATGCCTTACCAAGGTTTCTTTAGCTTGCTGTGGTATCCAAAGATTATAGTATTGATTAAACTGACAGAGCTGAGGATACTGAGACGTATACGGTGGCTGGAGCTCTTTATCAAAGAGCTGAAACATCAAACAAAGGGCCAAGGGATCTCTCTGCGAATGGAGGAGGTCAGTGAAAACAGCAACAAGATACTCCAGTATACTCTCTCCTACAAAACAAAAACACAGGTTTAGGAGGGAGGTTCAGTCTAGCAAATACCATATTTACTTGACTCCAAGATGTATTTTTCCCCATTCAACATGAGGGGAAAAAAGCCTCATCTTCGATCAAGTACCAGCACAAGTCAGGCAGTGGCTGCAGCTCTGGCTCCAGGCCAATCTGTCACTCTCGCTAATGCCCGACCCGGCTGGGGCAGCTTGTGCAGCAGGGGAGAGGTGCACAGCAGGCAGTGGGGGTGGTGCTGGGTTACATGGCCTCCCCTGTGCTCTCCCTGCTGCCACACAATTTCCCAATTTCCCCTGCCATGAGGTACCCCAGACCAGCTAGGCAGCAGCTGCAGTGAAAACTCCAGCTCACAGCAACAGGAGGGAGTGCAGGGCAGACTGTGAAGCTGCCACCACTGCTGCTACCTGGCTGGGATGGGGCTGGAGCCACTGCACAGGGTAAGCAGCAGCAGGAGAGTAGGTGGTGGGGTGGGCGGCAGGCACTGGGAAGGGGCCCATAGGGGGCCAGGGCCAGGGGTCTAGCTTCTAGTTCACATTGCCCTATCTCCCTCTCCCCTCCACCCACACCACCAAAATAGATTAAACTAAGATTGATTTGTATCTATATATTGACTGGCTACAGGCTCCAGCACAGCTGCTTATGGAAGCAGACAATCTGTATTGAGGACAGCATTTAAGTATGCAGATCGGAGGAATCATATATAGACCTTGCCCCACAAATTGTAAAAGCCCCAGTCTGGATGCTACTCAAAGGTTTCTCTTGTGCGGTATGTACTTGAAGAGATGCAAATTTATAAGTTGGCAGCAGGAACAATGTCCAGATTTACGCAAAACAACTGTGCCCTATAGCTCCTTATTCTGGCTACTTCTTTTTTCAAGTATGTGGCAAGGCATCTCTAACACTTCTTTCTGACGTTTCAACAAACAAAAGCACCTCTTTATACTGGCTGGAGTTCTGTCTTAAAGTTATACCCAGAGCAACTCTACTGCACTCAAGTGTAAACAGAGGTTGGCCTGCTTTGTCATTTGTGCTCCAAGCAACCTCAAAAAGATAACACCATGGGGGTCAAAGACTCAAGTCAAACCTTTCTTTTGGAAATGTGTTTGAGAGGTAAAACCAACATTTGGTTCCTTCAGGGCCTACTCACTGGCTTTGGCAGGAAGATAACACCCTATTCATTAAACCAAACAGTCATGTAAGCCATCCTTCTCTATTTCATATAAGGCTGTGAAAGAGAAGCAAGGGCTAAAATAGTTATTCTGAAAGAATCTGGGGGCTTCACAAAGCTCAGGCTCTCTCTATTGAGGCAGTGTGTCTCTACAGTGGTACTCAAGCCTTTGCTAGCAGAGCTATGTTTATACAGGCTCCCTCCTTGGCTCTGGGACATCTCTCCCCATCCAGAGCTCAGGGTCCCATAACATCAAGAAAAATAGTGGGTTCCTGAATTCTGAAAAAAGCCAATTTAGTTTTTCCACAGAATTTCCCCACAGCTGGAGGGACAAGGCCACAAGTAGCAGTCATTACTACCTTATTGCTCACTTTACTCCAATTCTGAACCCATGCAGCACCCTGAAGGGGTTTCCCTAAGGTGCAGAAAGAGCACAGAGGTACCATCACTCACTTCAGCACTTTGATCTGTGCTCCTTACACTTGCAGAAGTGGAGGGTACAACATGGTTCACTGATTTTAATATACAAGGCCCCAAAATAAGAATGACAAACTGCATAGGAATGACAAAACTTTCCCCTTCCATGTACACTGTGAATCTCTCAGCTACTCAAGGGAACTTAAATATAAACACAATTGGTACCCATTTCATTTTCAGCCTGAAGCAGTAACTTGTTCCTGACTTCTAATGCAGCAGGGACAACCGCACTGAATGGAAAAGTGTGTAGTATCATGTCTTCATTCAAAGCAAATCCAATTTCTTCATCCAAGCCATCACTGCCTTCCACAAGGACATCAACCATATCCAACACATCTATTAATGAAGGGAAAACATAAGCAGTTTAAATAGACACATCAGTTTAAAACTAGAAATAAGAGAATATTGGTCGGGCAGGGCAGTTTGAAGAGAAAGCAAAGGGAACATCAAATATCCATGCTATATGAAAGGGAAAGGCCGTGAAGCTTTCAAATCTGTTGCCAAATTAAGTGTAGAGAAAGGGGAAGTGGTACCAGGTGCAGAGATGAAGGTCTGATTACACCAGAATTTATGGACTCTGAGCACCTTTGGAGGTGAAAGGGGAACATGAACCAATGCAAGCAGATGCCACTTCCTTTAAAAACAATAAAACACCCCAAGCATTCCAGAGCCCCAAGTTCCCAAAAGGGAACCAAGAACCCTCAGTTAGGCTCCGGAGCAGCGAGAGAAAAGCAGGTGAAAGCCCGCCGCATCCCGGCTCCTCCGAAGCCCCCCAGAGACTCCCCAGCAGCCGTGGAGCCCCCCTGCCGACCCCCAGCACAGCCGGAGGCAAGCGGGGCCCGTGGTGGGAGGGGGTTAACCCCTCAGTGAGTGGAAGTGGAGGAGGCGGCTGAGTGGAGTCAGGCCAGGTCTCGCCCCGCCCAGGCCCCTACTTCACCCAGCCCCCCAGGGAGCCACGTGAGCAGGCTGCGCAAACAGGCGTGCTTCTCTGCCGGCGCGTGAGTTAGCACGGAGTTTGTGCAGGAGGGCCCAAGACCCTGCCTGCAAACCCCCCAGGGTAGACAGTCCCAGCCATAGCCAGCCTACCAGAGGCATGACACGGATGGGCACACGTCACACCCCAAGGGTCCCCTCGGGCTCTGCAGCCCC